AGTATGAAGATAGTCAATCTCCTTCTCTTTCTAAGAAATTATGATTAGTTGAAAACTGGCAGGTTTTGTTATCTCCCTTATTTTTGTTGATTAATTTTATACACGGATAGCATAATCCATGTTCTATGTCTTTAATCGCACTAGATTCTTTACGACTGAACACTTAGCTAATTTTTTTTAATCAATTAACAGTTTTACAGCAATATGGATTAGTAGCAACTAGCAAGAAAACTCAATTTTTTTTTATTTTCCTATAAAATTAAAATTAGTGTTAATAAATATTAGTTTGTAAAAAGTGCATTAAAATAAAAATATGTATATATATTGAAAGTTAAATGACATATTCATGATATTTGCGTAAAATGTTATGCAAATTTGTTATTCTGTAAATAATGTTCTGTAAATTTCTTTTAATACAATATTTTAATTAATATTATTAAGATTTTAATTAATTATCAACATACTTTCTTTTAGGAGAGAGATATTATAAAAGACACTTTCGAAATTATATGTGTATTTTAATGTTAATACATTAAACGTTTTGCAAAACTGTACTTATTAGTCAATCCTTGTATATAAGGAAATAACGTTTGCATAATTGGACTAATGCCAAACTCGAAACTTGGTGTATTAGTTGTAAAACTCATTAGCACGGGATGCCAACTAATTTTGATAGAATTTCTTGTCAAGCGATTTGCTAAACGGCTCTCATGATTTATGTCAAAAGATTTGAATCAAACGGTTTCAACAAGATGTCACTTCGACAAATATAATTAAACAGTAATTAACTGCTATTATGATGGAATTATAAAAATTGATTGGATTAAATTGTTTGGATTTTGATTAATTGTATGAATCTTGTCTTTTTAATTTTATGTAATTTTTTTCAGTTCGATTTCAAAGAAATATGACAATTGAATAAAACTAAAATAATATTAGAATTAAAACAGAATAATTCCTTTTTTTTATTGAAACTAAGAGCACTCGAATAATTTTTGACCTCTGAACCGTCACAAAATTAAATATTACATTTTCTATAAATTTTTATGTCATTTTATGTTTTTGCATTGCATTTTTATCGCAAATAAACTCAAATAATAAATAAAAATTTTTTTTATTTTAAGAACATTAATAGTTTATCACTATCATACGATCATATAATTTTTTCTCTAGGGCAGAAACGTGAAAAGTGAAAAATTTTTCCATTACTTACAATAATAAAAATTTTCATTTCTCACATTTCCGCTTCATGGAAAAAGTTACATAATCACTATCCAGAATCGTAATAATAGAAAAAAGCTACTATATTAAATTATATTTATAAGTTCATTTTATTTTCAGAAATAATTAAATTTAAAACCTTTATATTCTCGATTCTGTATTATCAAGCGTACTGTTAGATGATCCTAACATTCCTAACAGATGCTATACTAGGACATTTTGATAAATTAGACCAGTAGCAAGGGTAGTAACTTGATCCTTTATTCGTGTATCGGATGCAAAATCGAACGCAGGAGGATGGTGGCAATATTTTTGGTGCTGACGGACGACAATATGATTTTGAAAATGATCGTTGTGGACAAGGTCCAGCGATACATATAGTAGGTGGTAATGGCAGCGGCTCTGATCTTGATCTACACATCTTTAAAAATAAATTCTGATATTGTAAAGACCGTTATAATTTCTTTATGTCTACCTATGTGTATAATGCATCCTTTTTTATTTGATTAAAAGAAAGATAAATCGTATTGTTATTATATCATAAAAATTGTAAAATAAAAGTTATTTGCGTCAATTTTACTTGCACTATATTAATTAAATTCTATTTATTTAATATTTGTTCTTAAATTTTATTTAAAGCAGTTGTATAAATTATATAAACTATGTAAAATTCACGATTTCAATATTTTAAAAAAATCAGTGTTATTTATACCAATGGTGGGCATGAAGGTGGGTAATGACAATATTTAGGAAGTCTTGGTTCTGGGGACAAACAGCCATTGCTTGTACAATAAAATGGTTTGCAGTGATAACATGGTGGAGGCAACGAACTTAGTCGGTTCTTATCTTTGTAAACAGTAAAGCAAGACATTTTTATTTTTTACTTGAAAAATTTAGACGTTACATTTCATCAAAATTTCTAAATATCTAATATTTCTGTTAAATCGATTAACAATCTTTTGTTTGAGAAAATCGATGTATTCCTTTTCATAATATACTCTGTGTAAAATTGATTTTTTAAGTATAATCTTAAAATAACTTTTTAGAATTTTCTAAATTAAAATTTTTTTATACTCTTAAACTAATTACGTTTAAATACTTTATATGCTTTCTTTCGATCTTTTCTAGATAATAATAAATTTCTCACCTCTGATTTAATTATTAATTGATGATTACTTATGATTATTTTGACATGTTAAAACTGGTTTTCAAGTCCAGTCAAGTCACTTGAGACAACAGCATGTTACTTTCTTCGACGGTTTTTCAGAAGAACGACAGCGTGGAATAGCAAGAAAATAACAGGGTGAATAAGAGATTCTATAAAGAATAAGTAAATATGAAAATCGTTATAGATATTTTAAATGCTTTCAATTTTATATTATTTTGCATAACCTTAGTCTACTTTTAAACCTTATCTAAATGCATAAAGCAAAATTGTTGAAAATTTAATGTAGCTATCAATCTATTCGCTTTATATAAAATGTATAAGAATCATTTTGTGTAACGTACCTGTCACAAGTATATGTAAGCTGGAATTGAACGGCAGATCCATAGGGACGCGGTAATATGTCAAATAAATATTTCGGGCATACATAATCATTACGGCGTAATTTTGGAGAACATCGCGAAGAAACACTAGATGGAAATTTTGCGAAAGCATCTTCAAGACTCGACATGTTAATTTTAATCGTAATATATTGCACTTTTCTACAGTGTAATTATTTGTTGAAAAACAGATGTTAATTTTGATTGGACAAATATCATATGTTAATGTCAATTCATATTGCAGCTTGTGGTTTTGCATTAAATTTGGCGAGATTACATATTATATGATAAATTAATAATATCCCAATAATTTATTTTCAACATGAAAAAAAACTCTTTAATTAAACATAGAAAATGTTGTCATATATGACTTTCTTATATATATCACTATCTATTAAAAGCTATACTTAAAATATATAATAGATTATATTAATTCTCTGTATTTTAGTGTATTATAATTAAAAAATGCTGTTAGTAATAATAATTTATATTATCAATTACTTAACAAAGTGTATTTTACAAACAAAATGTAATCTTTTAAGTTTTATGTATTAAGGAGGAACAGCATTAAAAAATAAAAATATCTTAAACATGAAGTATTAAATAAATATTAATACTTGCATAAGAGAGTAATTGGAAAGAAAAAAGTCATCTCTTCTTCATCTCTTGTGTAATCAATACAAAAATAAACGTATGTTGAGGAAATTGATGAGATCAACACCTCTCGTTAGAAAAGTGCATGTTTTGTGAAAAAAAGGAAACAAAAGGCATGTTCATAATCACAACAGATATTATATAATAAACCGTATTTTTACAGTGGCAGATACAATGTAAAATGAACAAGGATACCTTTACGAAATATACACGCATTAAGTCGTATGTTGATCCAGGAATCGACCGGCGATACTATGTACAACACAACCACGTAAGCGTGCGCGATGTACCATCCAGCTGGCAGGCAACGCGGTTGCACTTTTGAATTTGGCACGCGGTGCATCTATTCGCCTATATCCTTGTCCCGGCGTCTCTCTCTCTCTCTCTCTAAATACGTGTACGTGTATATGTATATGTGTACGTATGCCACTGTTGTCTGCTTGTCTAAATGCACTCGCCTTCAGTCAAACGAGACACCGGAATGCGTCTTGGCTGATCTCCTAACTTTCCAGAAATGGGAAGAAAAAGACGTCTAACACATTGAAACTCGTTGATCGTTTCGATTAAAAAGTTACAAAAAAGAATTCAACTTCCGAATAAATTATAGACGTCGTAAATGTAGAGATTAGCCAAGACGCCGCTATCGCTCCTCCTCGATCCTAGTCAAATGAATGTAAGTTAGCGTACATCGACTAAGAAACGTAAAAGGAAAACAATAAGTACATAAACGTGATAATGTTACAACGAATTGTTATGTTGTATTATATATATGTACACGTTTTCTTCTCATACACTTCCTCGGGAAATGTACGGGGAAATAACTGGAGAAACGGAAGAAATGTCAGTCCGAAGAAAATAAAAAAAACAATAAAAGTTATAAAGATGAATAAAGGAGAAGACATCGACAACGTGCGTCGATTAGCAACGATCTCGCTAACAACGATCTACGTGTGTTAATATTTAAGTACATTGATTAAACGACATTTTTTCATAAGTACCACAATAAGTACCTAAGCGATCGCTTTCTTATGTGCTTTACAATTATTCGTTTAACTTCCTCTTCGCTTAACTTTGTTCCTCCTTGTTACCTTTTGATTTTCGGGACGGACGGAAGGTGGCTCGAAAAACCAAGTCCATTTTTGCCAAACAACTCGCAATGAGGACGGCGATTTTTCTTATCGTAGAAATCGTATCGTTCGATTTACAATTGCCAATAATAATTTCTTTTAGTCGGTTATCCAATTTAGTCAATTACAATCGAAGCAATAATACTTTAACACTTTATCTGTGTGGAAAAATAGTAATATATGCTTCGATATTTAGCATGACTAAATAAATTACGGTCGATGCGAGTTAACGACATCAAAAATCGCGCGATCAAAACGATGCTGCATAAATAAATTTGTAGTATTGCGGAAATATTTACATATATTTACGTATTCATTTGTTAGAATTACTACGCGTGACAATCTACTACTCTTAAAAATTATCCAAGAATCGAGACCATCACCAAACATATAATTTATATAACTTATAATTTACAATTTATATTTAATTTATAATTTACAAGTAAGCTGCAGATCTCTCTTTCACGATGCAGAATCGTAGCATCATTGTCTCCTCGTATCGTTTATAAAATTATAAAATACTATTATATGGTACAATTCGATTATTCGCTTCGATTGAACTTGAGGAAGAATTTCTCTCGTCTCATTGCTGAGTCGCCGGCTTAACAAATGACACACGCTCTTTAAAACTTCTTCACTCTCCTACACTGTCGCGTTACATTTTAAATAACTAATCTATATACAATGCATACATACACGTCTCAGTTATCCCTCTTGTAATATCTCCCTTGGCCTTCCTCGACGTTTACCCTCGATCCGTTTCGAAAAACCGAAAGTGCAGCGATTAACTTGAAAGACAAAAAGCTGCGAGGCGCAATACTGATATCTCACGGGATACTATCAATTACTATATACACGAGACTGAGGAAACTCCTTCACTCGCTAAGATGTACATAGCTGAGCGCAATCAGATCGTAGATATGAACTCACACTTGAGGATCGGCTCGATAAGCGATTTTCGCAACTATTATTATTACAGAGCGGAAGCACCGTCTAAACTCTCGAGAAAAGTATTGTATTCCGCAAGCGTTATCCTCGTGCGAGAATTTCTACACGCTTCGTCATCCTGCTCCTCGGTCCTCATGATAAATGCGACACGATCGTATGTATAATAGACAACGATAGTGTAAGACATATCTCCGCTAATCTTTAACAGCTAATCTTAAGTAATTTACGGGGTGTTTTTTACCGGCTAATACGGGACGATAGAGTCTGTGGTACCCGAACTCACGATCACTCATTCTGTGCTACCACGCGGTACGATGACCTTGAGCAAGTTCCTTACGATACTTCGTAATCCGTTTGACCCTGTTCTCTTAAGTACTAGCCACTTCACATCAATATCACAGTCTCCTCGTAGATGTTAACCCCTACTGCATACCCTACGTTCGGTAGATTAGAACGTATCTATCCGTTTGAGCCGGGTGAACTTGCCGGAAATGCAAGTCCCCTTCCTGTGGAAGGTACGGTCACCTCACTTCGTGATTCAGGTCACGATTCGATCACGAAGTGACAACTACCCTATATACTTTTCTTTTCTGTTTTTTGAAAAAAATAACAGTAAGGGTGCAGCGTAATCTTGAGTGCATACAATTTCGTTTTTCATGCAGAACGACGATAATCGCTCAGTTTGAGCCTAACTCTACTCAAGATAATTAGAATATCCAATTATAATATCGCGTGATAGACATTTAAGTGTAAGATATTATCCGTACTGTCGGGAATTCTGCTTATACGCGTACTTCGCGACATCTATTGCTTCTATTTAAATGGCTGACGAGATGTAGCCTGTTATTATCGGTGCGTGAAACTTTGTGTCCCGCGTCACGTCACCCGGGTGTCTGCTTATGCGTATATGCGTGTTTTATTTTTATTCTTACTGAGGTCGTTAAGGCTGTGCGCGTATATACTTATCTATCTATTAAGTATATTTTACGCTGATATTTTGTGCTGGTTCAGTTCGCTCCTATCGTCGTTGCTACTAAGCGTCAATTTGACAAGAAGAATTTATGCGCTCCTTCAGTCCAATTTCTTAATGGATCTCACGGTAAACTCAGGTGCAATCAAAAAGTTCCCGAACTAATGCTACGAGGTGAAAAAAACAATCGGTAGTACAGGGATAGAGTAAAGACCACAGATCTTATAAGTCAATATGCCATGTAGTATAATGTTGTAATTATTGAATATAATATTGCTCGCGGTTTTGTTCATAAATCTAGGTGCTGTGTGAGAGAGACATAAAATTGGAGCAAAGCGTATATGCATCAAGTTTTGCGCGAAAATATCTCCGAAGTTCGTCAAATATTTTATCAAGTCATTCGATCACCAAATTAATCTATTCATTCGTGAAGACCGCAAGAGAACTAACTTGACTGTGATTTTTTAAATATCTTTTAGAAGTTGTCATGCTACACACAAATTTTTTTCTAGTGCCTTGTTTTTTTCCAAAGACTTGTAGACGCATTTAGATGATTTTATGAATATTTTTAGCCTCATGGGAAACTTCCACTTACACTATTTCAATTAAACATCTCAATGATTTTTTACCTCGAGCAATTTTTGTTCGTGTTTAAAATGTCTATAACACTACAAATTTACATTTTTTTCTGGTTGTTTCTAGAAGTTCGCAGAAGCATTTAACAGCTTTAACTTGACATAAAATTTGCATGCGTTATTTCAATTTTCCATTTATCACCACAATTGCAAATAGACATTTAAATTATCGAACCAAAATTGGCATAACGCTCAATAATTGCAACATCATACTACTGGCATATTGACTCATAAGATTTATTTCCACGTTTTAGAACATTCTTGTACTATTGCTGAGTTCCTATATTACTCAACCATTGTTCTGGTTTTCCGCCTTGTGGTATCAGTTCGAGACTTTTAATGACACTTTGTATACCGCTACTACCCATTCGGAAACTTGATCAGGTCGAGGACACGCGGCTCACGTGTAATACTTTCGATCGTGTGCAAGGTCGGAGCGCGGGCGGACGTGTTGCCGCTATGTGCTTGAGTGGAAATACTTGGCGACACTATTGATAAACTCCTGACGCTACAACTGCACTTGGAACGCCTGGGTCGCGTTCGGCATAATAAAGGGATTCGTCGTGGTTGACTGCTGCATATTTCTGGAAGCTATTTCCGCCCATTCGACGTCGAAGGGATCAGAAGGTCCTCTGGAAGTCAGGCTCATTGCAGCCGAACCAAGCGAATGTGCCCTCGTATGAAGAGGAGGTGCTCGTCGAGGACTAACAGTTACTTGCTGTGGTGTCGGTGACGGTACAGAGCCAGTTATACTACCCAACCATTGTTCTGGTTTCGGTAAACCAGCTGCTGTGGAAAGCGGTTGCACCTGTTTGATGGAGAAACTCGTGAAAGAACGTCTTGGATCAACGTTGAAATTTGCGTTATAATATAATAAATGACCAAGAAGCTAATTTTTATATTGGTTGCAGTAAATAATGAAATGAGAAGTTCTAAAAAAGTAAAATTCGTTGCATTAAATTTCTATCATAGAAAACTTCCAAAGCGTAAACATGTTCTTAAAGAATATAATAATACTATATTTTAACAAAATTTTTTTGTTTAAAAGTTTTCTGTAAAAATTAATCAAAAATTAAATAATTTTAATAAGAAATTTTTAATGTATATTTTAGATTATCAATTAATATTATATATATATATACTTATAAAATATTAATTGATAAATAATTTAAAAATTTATAAGTAAAAAGTATTTATATATTACAGCATTTGATTCTTACTTAATCTTGTTAATATAAATTTAACACAACAAATGTATATAGTAAGTGTTTAACTTACTAAAGCCGTCGGGATTCCAGTTGCCGATGAGACTTGAGCGACATCAGCTGAGAGTGGTACCGCCGGGGAAACGGATGCTACACTGGTACTAGGAGAACTTGTTTTTGGCGTCATCATGGAATTTATTGGGATCGGCGATCTGTTCACGGCCGGCGTAGACGCATTTCCTAAAGAGGATGTAGAAGCCGTGCTGAAAGCAGGACTTGCTGCCGATGGCGGCGTGCCGAAGGCACCTACACTAGAGGAAACAGGTGCCGGTGTGCTCATAACGACTGGAGTGGGCGCGTTCGTCCTTGGAAGAACGGGACTCAAGTTGCTCGCCTTAAGGATGGGCGTGAGCCTGTGATTCGACGCGAGAACGGGGGATGCGGATTCTTGCCAACTGGGCGCTACATGATTCAGATTACTGAGCTCTTCATTCTTGTCGTTGTTATCGTTGTTATTGATATTGGGACCATTCTGCAGTTTCATCTCATCCAACGAGTTGCTACTCGTTACTAAAAAAGGATGATGATTTATTTATAAAAATTACAATGCGTATGATCTCTTGAAGGCGTCGTCTGCATGAGATTATTCTGATAGAGAATGAAATAAGTAACTCTCACAATTTTGTTGAAAAGTCATACCTGGAGGAGAGTTAGTAGTGGTACTGGTGAAAAGCTGCTTAGCTACGGAGCTCGCGGTAGATTGGGACGACGGCAATGGTCCAAAGTCATCGCTGCTCGAAAGCAGAGAAAGTCCTTGAGAAAGCTGCTGACACATCGCGGAAACGCTGTCGTGATCACCAGGAAATATTTCTGGTATTGGACTCACTGCGAATAAACAGAAGATGTAACGTTTATTAATATATTTAGGACATCTCAAATTTTGTGACATGGGTGCTAAGACGCATTCTACAAGGGGCATGCTACAGGATGCCTAAATGTATGTATGTTGGGTTATATAGTATAAAGTGAGAGTATATATAGAACGATGAACATACGATGTAAGTTGAATATTATTTCAAGCATAAACAAAATAAATACACGAGAGGCGAATTCAAATTACAAGGGTTCTAACTACACGCTCGTATAGTGTCGTGATACCAGTTTATGTCTGTTAATTTAATTATACAATGAACCGTGTGCATGGAAAACGAGCATGTTCAAGGATACATTGATGAGCAAGCAACAATAAAGAACAGAATAAGGAGTAATGACCTTCGTCATATCCTTCGAATTCTGTTGTAAGATAAAGAAATACATCGTTATTTATTGGTCAGATTGATTTAAATTAATAGCACATAATCAGCGTACTTGTGCGTATCATATGTTGTAGCGTATTCTCTCACTCGTTAAAGCTTAATTTAATAAAATTTTAAATAAAATGAAAATGAGATGTTTCAGTAACATGAACGCTCACCTGGGGGCTTCGAAGGTACTATATGCGAATGAGCTGAAGGCATTCGCGCCAAATCCGTTGGCTCAAGACTGTGACTACGTGTGCGTTCAAGAGTACTAGGAAGATCGTTGACTCGTAGACTGAGTTGCCTTTTAAATGGGGATGCTTGACTTAGCTGTGAAAAACCCCGGAAGGAACCTTGCCGCTCCAACATAGATAGAGTAGCGTGCGGCCTCTCAATTGCAAAGGGATTGTACACTTGCCTAACCGGAGGAATTTCTGAAACATAAATATTTTACATAAATATTGAAATACCAGAAAAAGAATATATTGCCAATGAGCAACACTTTTTATGATCTATAAAAAGATAATACGATATATTAAAAGCGAAATATTTAAAACATTTGAAACGTTAAAAATATACTTACAATTAGTTTTAATTTGTTCGACAAATTTAAACTTTTTTTATATATCATTAAATAAGCGAACAGAATGGTCTACATTACATTAATTATATACAGGTAATTATTCAAATCGTATAAACGGGCTATTATCGTTCTCTCAAAAGGTTGTTCGCTGCCAATAAACCTGACCAAAACTTACTTCGTGAGTTAAACGCTCCCATCTTTTCATCGTCTCATTGAACAAGACAAAGTAGAAAGAAAGAATAGACGTTAGAGCAATCACTAAACAAAGCTCTAGCGTTTATTCTTATTGTTTTCTCTCTATTTTGTTTATGAGACGATGAATAAGAGAAAGCATTAGTTTAACTCACGAACTAAGTTTTAGACAATACTGAACTTCATGCCTACAAAAAGTCCAGTACTTCACGCTTTTGAAATGTATAGTACTATGGGCGTTTCGAATTACGCATAAAGCGCATGAGGTATCATTTTTTTCTTCTTTATTTTTTATTCTTCGGAGAACAACAAAGACAGATGATGCATCATACGCTTTGTGCGTAATTCAAAACGCACCCTAAGACCGTTGAGTCATAAAACGATTGAGCATCAAAGAAGAAGAAGAAGAAGGCCTACAGAATTTTAAACTATTCTTTTTTTTAAATTTGTTTATAATTTTATTTATAAAGCAACCAACACAACAGGTGACTTTGAAAAATATATGTAACCTACCTGCTGCACGATCACGCGCTTCTTGTAACCGCTCCGCGAGATTCGGTTGCCTAAAGCTGCCACTTCTTGTGAAGATGGAAGTCTTCGAATCGAAAGTCATTGTAACTCCGCATTCTTTGTCTCTTCGTTGCTTCCTCTCCAAGCATGCAGCAAAGGCGCAGCCTACTGCATGACTCAATCTTTCTCCCTTGATGATAAAGAATAAGTCCATTAAGAAATGCCTTCATTATCCTGATGTGAGAATCCTTTAAAAACTAATATGCTATTTATATTTTTAAATAAAATAAGGTAAACCAAGATTTAAAATATGCACGATTTATCGTAAACAGAAAGATATATGTAAATTTCAACAGCAATATATGACATCCTAATAAGTAAATTAATAATAAATTATTGCCAAGTTGACATTAAGCTGATCGACTCAGAGTTGATGATAAATTCGGTGCTAGCAATAAGTTCGTATTTTGCTAGCAAAGCCTGCGTATTAACCAGACAACAAATTGACAGTAACAATTGAGCAAAACTTTAGGTTTTGATTTTGGTCGCAAATTGACAGTAACAATCGAGCAAAACTTTTTGGTTTCGGTTTTGGTCGATTCTTGTCGTCAATTTGCTGTCAGGTTGTTAGCAAGCTTTACAAGGTTTTATCAATTTATTCTCATATTACATCAGCAGATATCTGCTACCAATTTGCTGACATTATTAAATATAATAGAATTCGCATTAAATTTGATGCCTTTTGTCCATATTTATAGTAAGCATTTAATAAAATTTGTTGATAGACTTGATTGGCTGGGATAGGACGTATTACAATGAATTATAATTTTACAAAATTTCCAATTATACAAAATATCACATTAATGTATTCTTAATAGATCTATTAGCAATTAAGAACGCATTAAGATTTAATTATATATTGGATTTTTATGTTGTTATTATACCACATACTATCTAATGCTGTGTGTATTCGCAATTATAAAGCCATGAGAAAAATACTTTCATTATCCACGCAAAAGTGTTTTAAAAATTAAAATGTTATTTATATTTTTAAGCAAAACATGACTAAAATATACACATTATATTATAAACAGGAAGATATATGCAAATCTTAATAACAATATGTAAAAATAGAACATATTTTATAATTTTTACAAAAAATTTTTTCAATTTTACACAAGATAGTAATTATCAATAAATCTGTTAGTAATTAGGAACGCATTAAAATTAAAATATATATCTCATATTTACATATTGGGTTATCATATACACATATTTTATGTTATCACCACCGTACCGTCTGATGCTGCATATATTCGCAATTCGAGTCAATGAACACCCCTTATCGACAGAGTATACAGCATCCCTTGTATATTGAGGATAATTTTCTATTCGAATGGAATGGAATGGCATCTGACTTACCGATTCCTTTAATGCTAAAAATCCATGACACATCCATCGCCTTGTCGTGCCATCCCTACAAATGTAACTAAATCCCTTCTCATGATTCCTATCCGGCGCACAGAACGACACCTTTTCAATTGTCTGATCGACAATCAACCCTTTCGTTTCGTCCTCGACAACACGCAATCCGTCACCGGATACGTGAAGTACCGCCCGTACTGGTCTTCTTCTTGAGTTCTGAAAATTCAGTCACGAATTAACTCGGTCGTCCGAAGTTGCCCTTTGACCTTTACACCAATTTATTTTCAGATCGCTTTGGTGTCAATGTCGACTCTTTATATGTAAGCCGTGCTAAATATAGTCGAGGCGAAAGACTCGGAGAATGTGACGCGCTTGACTTTCGCAAGACTTATAAAACTTTCTAGAGAGCTTCTTGAATATTGGAAATGGAAAGTACCTTATGAAAGAATGGTTCAGTTACTTTTAGAAATTATTTATTCTTATATACATAAAAAATGTACTGAATGAACTATATATGACCAGTGATCATATGCACCCGTGATGTAGATGGTTAATTATAAAAGTTAATACTTTTAACTGATCCACAAACAAGTCGTATTAATTTCAACAGAATTATTTTATATAAAATACTTACACGGAGAACTTTAAGGGCCTCCTCGCAAACTTGCATACCCCTCGATTCAAAGACTTCTACACATCCTAGATACTGTCAAAAAATCAATTAAATTATTGATCTATTAAAGTAGAGTATTTTTAAAATTAAAGTAGACTTTTGTAAAGTCTTTATTTAGGAAAATTAATGTTTAATATTAATGTAGCAAATTAATATGAACTATAAAAAATTACTATAAAATTATACATTTTTGAAAAAAAAACTAAATTAATAAAAAATTTAATTATTTTAAACAATTGTAAGTAATTCTACGTAAATAATGATTTCTGACAATATTAATCTGAGAATTAATTAATTAATGATTCATATATAGTATATTTCTAAAGCAGAGAATATTAAATAACTAAAATGTCAGCCATAATGCCGACTAAATAAAGAAACGCCAATTAATTCTTAATCCATTTTAATAAATTCATCTTTTTAATAAATTATCATAATAATTCTAATACTGATTAGAGATAATCACTATAATTGGTGCACACACTCGGTGTTGTTATTAACTTTTACCTTAACATGAAAAGCGCATGTAGCTGAACGCACTGCACTTTCATCCGCTTGCCATTGATGAGGTTTACTAGACTCGGGCACATGAGGGTCTTTCCGCCGCCGGAAGCTATCTCGGAAGCTTCGTCGAAGCCGATCCATTCTTTTTCCCGGCGACCTCTCGCGCTTCTGTAATAGCGAAACATAAAAACGTTTTATTTCCTACAAGCCTTAAGCAATAAATCAAACGGTATTAACAAAGAACTTTCCCTTGGGTATGACGAAAAGTGATCTGTCCATGACAAATAAATATATGTAGAGTTGTCAGATACTAATTTTTGATTGTTCACTCGCACAAAATCATCCAATATTCGTAGGCAGAAATATAAACAAGATATTAACCTAATATAAAACATTTATAATACATTTATTATAAAAATAAAAACACATATGTACTAATACATATGTAATATCAATAGAAAATGTACATTTACAAATCTAATAACTCCTTGTTATCTTTATATAAATATTAAAAGGTACATTAAAGATTTAAATGTACATGTACATAATAATTTGATCTTATAAATATTTTAATATATACCTAATCGTTTATCAAAAGAATTGATAAAATATATTTCTTCAATTTTGCATGAGTTTTAAGTTGTGTGATAAATATAGTTATGTAAAAATGTCTTTTAAAAAAAGTCAAGTAACATATTACAATATTACGTCAAAAGAAATTTAAATAAGTTTTAATTTGGATACAAATGTTAATAATGTTGCTGAGATTACATATCATTTGCTCATGCATTGTCAAAATTGTAAGTAATTAACAAAGGTCAGTAGGGAAATCAAGTCAGTAGGGAAATCTCGAGATTGGATCAAAGCAGCAAACACGATGCCCACAAGGAACGACGTTTCTCTTAGTCCAAATTATCTTTTGATAACATTCAACATCGACAATGTAATCAGTCAAGGCAAAGCCGCGAGCAAATTCTCAAGGGATGCGTTCAGGATTCACCCGATGAATTGTTAAGAGTGGAGCTTGAGAAAATGTCCAAAACGGCCACTGTCTGGCAACCGTTGCGCCAAATCGCCAACTTGACAAAGCCCTGTGATCGAATCTTGAGACCCGTTCCCAAAGAATCCTTTATATCGGAACCCTCCTTTATATCGAGTCTCCCCTAACACCGACCGCGGATCTACCCTCCGAATTGGCGACACCCCTAAGAGCTAGTCGACGGATTGCGAACGGAGACACGTTAAGAGACCTTTCTCGTTCATGCTCTATGTTTTTTCCCTTCGTCATCGACATCTCCCTCTGCCATGTTCCTCGTTTCTCTGACTGTGTAAGGTTAATTGAACGGTGTTATATCACCTGATCAGAAATATCATGACTATACCTAGATTTTCATATTCTTAACAAATAAATAAAAATTAAAATAATTGATTTTAAAAACGTCCTGTTTTCATTGATATCATACGATATGATACTCATTACAATTTTTCTGATTGAATTTTTAAAAATCATCTAGATATGTTACAATAATTTAACTACCTCCCTTTCCCATTTTCTGCGAAAACACAGTTTACGTACATATTTCCGTAAATTATGGCTGTACTGTATCAAATTAACGCATGTATGTATGCATTTGCACGAGGTTCTGTTCTGGAGAGTTCGTAGACAGACGATGATTAATGATTGGCTTAATTATCTACTTGTGGAAGATACACTGCGCAGTAATAGGTATTTATTACAGTATACAGAATATATTAGTACTATTCATTTTCTCTCAGGATTAAATATCCTTACAATTTTTAAAGTAAATTTTTATTAGCCCAAACTAAATAAGGGTTCTTCATTTGTCACAGTGATTTAATTTTAACAATAATTTTTTTATAAATTCTCAAAATAGGTATATATTAAAATACATTTTGAATTAGCACAGAAACAAAATTTAAATTATTTTTTTAATTAAAAAATTTTTGCATCTTAAATATTAAATATACAATATTGAGTGTTATTTAGTGATTTTATGAAAGTGCGTGCGCGCCCGTGTGTATGTGGCAATAAGAGAAAATGTTTAAACTTTTCAAAGAATTTAAAATTAAGAAGAAATATGTTAATACGAAATTCTCCAGCGTACTCTGCATTTATGATATCATTCGCACGTGTTTCGCTCAACTGGTTATATAGATAGGATTTCAATGACATCATATTAGATTACATGCACATGTATTCTAAGTTTGCGATGGTTGTCTATAGATATTTATCCAATCCAGTTAGGCGGATGTTACTCATTAGAACGTAATTAGGACTCTATCGAATTAGTTCGCGAACTGAGCTAATAATTCGAAATCATGAGACTAAACACGAGTAACAAACTCATACTTGTACAAGCACACATAGATACATAACATACTAATTTTCGTGTTATGATCCTATTTGAATATAATCACAAAAAATCGAGAAGCACTTAAGTCAACAAACTTAAAATCGTTATTGAATACATGTATCATTATAGAATATTATGCAAATCTTGCACATATTAAATTTATTATTTCACATTATATTATGTGAGATAAATTTCTTAAAAATTTCTAAAATCTTACATACAGCTTCGATAATAGATTAGAAAAACCGCTGTCTTATCTCACCCTCGAAATATATAAGGGCACGTTGACCCAACTTTATACGCTCCAGATAATGAATATCGGCAAGAAGATCTAAATACGTCCCCTACGACTGCATCCCTTAAATAACTCCTGCTGGATATGACATGGGAACAGTTATTAAAGAAGACGCATACATTTTGGATTCGTTCCATTTAAATTTCTAGTTAGGAAGCACAGTACACTTTATTTGTATCGACATTTAAAAAACGTATAATGACGGTGTTTTTTAATAACACTTGACATATCTTTTAACGAATACAAAATAATTTTTAATTAACTAATTCAGACGGTAAGTAATTTTTAAAAGATAGTTTTAGTAATTAAATATTAAATCCAAAATTACCAACTTGATACGCGCAATAAAAACAAAAGAAATAGCAGGTAAAAAGTGCTTTCATCTTAAAATATTTAAATTGCTTCTCTCTTTCCAGAATTTGTGTGAATATCATATGAATGAATTGTTGAATTATAAACTAAGAAATATATATAAAGTTAAAAGTTATTTTTTAATTGTACAAAATAACACAGATGATTACTGATTAAATGCAAATAGGAAACGCGTTGAAACAGTATTTTACACGCAATAAAAGAAGTGATATATAATAACTATTATTTTAAAATCGAGGCCAGACATACGCAAGACATCTTCTATAAAGGGTATGATTTGCTCGTAAAAGTCACTTTCACCTCAGAGACCGCACATTGCAATCGTGTAAGTCTCCATCGAGCAATTGAAACAGAAATGAAAAGGATTGAATGTGGGGTAAAGTACATGAAACAAATTTAATCAGAAAGAAGAGAAATCTATATAAACTTTTATATATACAGTAAACTCTGAATTTATGAAGCCAAACTACGCGCGCGCCATATGTATTTAATAAAAATTGCAAAATAAAACCATATAAATATACAATCAATAAAAGATAAATGCCTTTAAACGGTTTAGCTGGATCTTAAGTGTTCTCTCTCTCTCTCTCTCTCTCTCTCTCTCTCTCTCTCTCTCTCTCTCTCTCTCGTATAATTCTATATAAATTTATATACTACGTATGTGTAGTCCTTTAAACTGCGCTCCGAAATAACTTTTCGGTATTGAAACGCAAACTCCACTGAACTACCATAATAATATCACAAGTTAAATTGACTAGCAATTTAACAACTCGATGCTCATAATCATCTTAGAACGCTCGTAATAATTAACAATGCTGAACGACATTAAAATCTGTAAATAATTTTAAAAATCATATAAATCTCATGTAAATTTTTTTGATGTAAAAACGTGTTCTATATAAATAATAATAATTAATAATAATTTCTTTTTATTAAAAAACGTATTGCACAAAGAAAAATTTTTTAATTAAATAAAATAAGAATAATATGTCATATAAAAATTAAATATATTAAATGTATTAAATATACATTAAAATATCTTATCTCTGTAATAAAAGTCATTAGAGTAAAGTTGTTATTTTAATGCAAATTATGTGAACAGAATTGTTAAGAACTTAGATAATAACATTTAAAAAATTAATACTTTATAATAAACTTTAATAAAGCTATTATCATCATGGTTATTAAATCGAGAGCACTATCACGTCAAGGGAGACTAACGAAGGTACGATAAAGCGCAGTCCATCAAGGACATCAGTAGATTTTAGATTGCATGTCACGTGTCTCCCATGAAGGACCATCGAGGGAACAGACCGGCATTATCACGCCCGAGTAGCTGCATCCCAGATTTTTTTCGAAGCAACACTTCTCCGTGAAAGCGATCGCATCTGGGGTCTCGTGCTCGATTAGAATAATATCATCCAATGAAAATAATCAAACCCCCATGCAACGGAGCGATACCGGCCATCGGTTATCGCACGATAAACTACTAATAGCTATAACGTGCGAAAGCAAACGCTCTTAACGCAATCGGTTTAGCGAGACTGTTTACTTAGAACGGTAATAGGCTTACCGTTGCGTTACAGTAAAACGATTGCATGCTCTACGCACCATACCGTTTTATTCATCACTTCAACATCGTCTGTCATGCGAGAGTTGTCTATCGCGTCTTTATCAAGCGAGTGACGATCGAGAGGCATGATCATGTCGAGCGAACAATACCACCGTCTAGCACCGTACTAAACGGCTTTGATCGGCCAAATTAGTCTGCGGCGTTGTAACGCTTTGCAGAGATTTAATTTAACTGTGTGACGACGCATTTGAATGCACACACAACTGCTTTTTAATTGGCATGATGGGGAACGCTGTGGCGTTTCTACAGCGTAATGATTTTGTTGCCTCCTCAATATTAAGATTGTGACATAGTAATTTAGCAATTTGCGAATTATGTCCTAATAATCATAAATATGGAAGTAGGAAATATTACTAACAAAATAAAAAATTTATTTAAACTCATATTTAAACAAATTCTGTTATTATGATATTTTAAATTCTGTTATATAAATGAAAATAATATTTTGGATTAATAATGCAGCTTTTTATACAACTTTTTAAATGTTAACTGT